GCTGGCCCGCCCCGCTCCGCCCACTCGCCCCCCTCGCCCGCCCCGGGCCCGGCAACCCGCCACTTACCTGGCCTTGCGCTTCCTGAGTCACGTGGTCTGCGGGGCTCCGCCCCCTGTGACGTCCCGCTTCGCCGCGGGGGATTGGCCTAGCCTCTCGGGGGCGGGGCCAGAACGCCGAACCCCAGGCTCCGAGCGGCCAAGAGGAGCGCCGCGATCCCGCCCCGGCCAAGCAGAACACTTGTTGATTGGCTAGATCACCAATGATGGGCGGAGTTACCGCAGAGGAGAACAACCCAGACAGTCAACAAGGAAAATCTAGAACGAGTAAAGAATTACTCTGTGGAGGAAGCAACCCGGGGTCGGGCTCTGCTGCTCCCTGGCGGTGTGTTGGAGTTACTGCGTCACTGGCCAGCTGCCCCTGGCTCCCCAAGGGCCTGTCCGCCTATTACTTTCTTCACGGTGGATGTGCAAGGGTTTGCAAGAGGACAGATCTACTTTTGCCCAGCGGGAGGAATCCCCTCTCCAATGACCTGACTAGTCAATATCAGTGACTTTTTGAACTCTTCCAGTGAGAGGGAGTAACTACTGCACAGGCAGCTATTCTCATTTTTACATCACTGGAACTGTTAATACAGGGCTGCCATCTGGTGCCCTGAAATCTTACTCAGGGTAATAATTATAGCAATAATAATAACCACCACCAACAGTCAACCCCTCCCTACGTCTTCTCTCAATCCAATTGCTCCTCAGGATTTATTGAGCATTTACTATGTGCCACATAGGTTTCTGAGCGCTTTAAATGTACTAACTCATTTAATCGCCACAGTAATCCTATGAGGTAGCTGATCTAATGAATCCAATTTTATAAATGAAAAAATTGAAGCACTGGAGAGATTAATGAACTGGGCCAACAGATGCCTAATGGCTCCAGAATCTTTAACAACACAGTAGTTTCCTAAAGTTAAACAGAAAATTACTTTCTTTTCACATAACCATCCTCATGCCCCCTAATCTGGGTTAAACACTTGTGGGTTTTCTTAATTTTATTTATATTTCATATGTCTTTATATTTCAAAGTTTCCTGGCTCTCTGGGTCACCCTACCCTGTGCAGGCTAGAGTTTATCAGTGTTATGAGGTGGGGACCTAGATCTGAACACAGTGTCTCAGCTGCGATCTGATCAGTTTATATCCTCATTTGAATAATATGCTTTTAATAATGTGGTCTAACTATAAGTAAGAAAATAGTTAACCCTTATTGAATTTGCTTATGTACCAGGCCGTGTGCCAAGTGCTTTCTGGAAGAACCACACGGGGAAGGTATTTTTGTGTCAATTTTGTACGTGAGTAATCTGAGACTTAGAGAAGTTGGTTAGCTTGGCCAAGGACACAGTGATCTGAGCCCAGGACAGTCTGTCATGGCGATGTATTTTCCTCCTTCTGTCACACCTACCTCTGACACACACATTGGCTCCAGCAAGGTGGAAAGAATTTCTCTTCCCCCAAAGTTCAAAGACTGCTCTGACCTGGAAATGTACTTACTATTTACTCAGACGACTACTCTCCCCAGGTTCCAAAAGCTGCCAAATCTCCCCTTTTCTTCCCTTCCAGACAATCACAGCCCTGATTAAAGCCCTTCCTGTTTCCACTCCCATTTCCTCCATAACTCCCCTTCAGTCTTTCCAGTCTATGCCAGTTTCTTTCTTTCCTCTCTTCTCACCTGCTACCTTGCAGCCAACAGTCGCTGCTCCCCTACTCCCTACCCCCTACCCCCAATTCTCCTCTCAATCCAATTGCTCTCTAGGACTTCTGGTTGCACTGCCCCTGGAGACAAAACTCCAGCACTTGCCCCTTGAAAATTATCATTTCTTCTTCCCTTTATCTTGTTCTTCATTCATTGCTCCCTCCACTAATCATGGAAAAACTCCCCACATCACTCCTCATTCTCCTCTGCCCCTGCCTTGGCTCCTTGGGCTTAAACCCCATCTTCTCCAAAGAAAGACATTCTCGGGGGAGACAGAGCCTTACTTCTTCCCTGAGTCCCCTGACAGTAACTCTCCCCCTCGTATATGTCTCTGCAGCGCTAGCAGCACGTCTGTCGACCTATGGGGCATCCCCTGGGAAAGCCACCTGTCTCCCTTTTTAGGAATTTCTTTCCCTCCACGGCTCGGCTCTTCTCTTCCAACAGACCCAGAGTGGAAAGGGGTCAGCGTCCCTGACTTGCCCTGTGTCCCATTGTCAAGGGTACCATTTGATTTTCTGTCTGTAAAAAAACACCTGCTTGGATGGCTTCTGACTAGGACTCCTGCAACCAGCGGTATTGGCACTCTGCCCCCTCTCTCCTCATGCACATGATGGTGATCTTCTTTTCCTCTCTCTTTTGTACAGGGTTACCTGACCCTCAGGAAGATCTAGGCTTTTCCTCTCTGCCCATCTCACCTTGTACAGGTATATCCTCCCAGTTATTTCATTGGGTTGTTTGCGTGGGGGCCAAGAATGCATCATTCCATCTTTACATTCCACACATCTAAAATAGAGTCTGATACATGGGACTCAAAAATGTTAAATAAACCAATGAATGAATAATAAGTAGAATGCACTGTCAAGACTGTGAATGTAACACTTCTAGAAGTGCATGTGAGTCTCTAGGACTATGTGACAGTGTGCATTTGTGGGCTTTTTTAAATACGTGAGTTTCAGGACTGTGTTGAGTGCAGTATGTTTGAGATGTACTTTTTTTGGTGTCTGTGCTTTTAAGGAAAGAATGTAGCATGATCTTGGCTACGTTAAATTATTATTTTTGTAAAATGGGATACATAAGCCTTGTTCTTTATAAAACATTGCTCCTGTGGTGTGCATGGATATGATAGCATGTGTATGTGAATGTATTGGGGGATATATTCCTGGAGAACAATCGGTTGACACTGATGGTGGGCTGAGTAATAAGCTTAACTAATTTCCTTGACTTGAAGGAATTTACGGCATTCTTGGGGGGGGATTTAGATTCGGATGTAATTATTCTCACAACGTATAATAAAGAACTAAATTGCTCATCGAAGACAATTAGATAATATATATTAAAATTCTAATTGTGCAGTAAAAATAACAGGTGCAAAAGAAGCCAGTGGGGGAAAGATAAGTTTGGGTTGGAACCACCAGAAAAGTCTTGTGAAGACAGGCATCCTCCTTTCTGTTCATCTTCTGTTTGCTGAAAATCATAACAGAACACTTTTAGAGCCCTAGCTGTTAAGACTGTTTTGACTCAGCTTTTGTTCAAGTTCAGGCCCCAGTTACCTGACCAGCTTTATGCCAGTGGCATCAAGCAAGGTTCAGAGTTGAGGTTAGAGTAAAAAATGCCTCCCCCCAAGGAGGTCTCTGTGTTCCACCCAGGAAAAAGATTGCATGGGTTCTGGTTCCTGTGGCCCTTGGACACAGAATTCTCAGTGTCCTAAATGTTCTAACTTTTTTCTTAATGTCTGAACACACTTCATACCTGGAATCCAATGATCTGGAAATTGGACCTAAGAAGAAGAGATGGTGTGGCAGCCAGCTTCCAAGATGGGCCCTGGTGAGTCATCTATGCCCATGTAGTCCTTTTTCACATCAGTATTGCTGGCTTTTGTAATCAGTAAGATATTGTGGAAATGATGGTATGTAATTTCCTAGGCCGTGTCATAAGAAACTTGCTTTTTGCCTTGTTCTCTCTTGAAAAGAAAGGCTGCCCCAGGAAGCTCTTGGGAAGAGGCCAGCTGCCATGTTGTGAGAAACACTCAAGCAGCCGTGTGGAGAGACTCATGTGGTGAGGAACTGAAGCCTCCCCCCAACTGTCATGTCAGTGAGCTAGCTCTTTTGAAAGTGAATCCTCCAGCCCCATCAAAGCTTTTTAGCTGACTTACCCAATATCTTGACTATAATCGTGTGAATTCCTTAAGCCAGAGCCACCCAACTAAGCCTCTGCTGAATTCCTTACCCACAGAAACTGTGAGACAATAAACATTTATTCTCTTAAGCCATCAAATTTGGGATAACTTAATATTCAGCAATAGGTGAATATTAAACTATTGAACTAATACACATGGAAATTTCCAGTTTAAAGGGAAGAAGAAAAATAATTTACAGTAAACTCAAGAAGTAAAAGAATAAAAGCAAGTTTAATTTAAAAAGAAAGTTATACTCTAGCAATTGTGGTCTAGGTGTGTTTGTGTGTGTGTGTGTTGGGGAAGGTATGTTGTGAAAGGTCTATGCACATTTTCCATATTTGGAGAACCATGCTATGTAGGAGAACCAACCAGAATAGTCTGGGTATGGGTCTTGTGTGTGTATGGTGTTGGAAGTATAGGTTCATGGGTATTTATATGGTTAGAGATTATATGCACATTATTTAACAATGGGTCATGGCACAGAAAGAAGCAATTAGAATGGAGCCTCTGCCAATCAGAGCCATTACCGCTATGCAAATCGTAAAGCTACGCTGGTGTCAACTGGATGCATGCTGGCATTGGGTGTAGAGGCTCCGAAATGGTCTGGGTGTGGCCAGATTACCTTGGACATTTTAATATAGGTCTTTCCACAAGATGGCACTGATAGCTTTTCCTTGTATCTCTTTTTTTTTTTGTCTTGTTGAAAAATTTGTGATTCGTGGACTGTTACAGAACGTACTATAACTGAAATCTCACAATTTACTAGTTGATTTCTTGCACTTTTTGACAATTCTATTGCCTTTATGACATTTAAAATTATGTTTTTCCTTTAGACCATTCCAGGAGCACATTGAAACTTTAAGTTGGGCTGTGGGGAAGTGCTGCCTCACACCAGATGCTGTCATTATGGATGCTAGAGATGGGAAACGAGATGAAGTGAAGCTTTGATCTTTGAAAAGCCATTTGACAAAGACAGGTGAGAGAAGAATCAAGAGAGAGCTTTCAGTTAAGTAAGGACCACTTGAGTGCTGAAAACCATTTTGGTGGACTCTCTTGTTTCCTCTGTTCATGCTACCCTGAGCTTCAGCTGAGCCACAGCCTGGCTGGCGCTGTGAGTCCAGCTTGATGAGACCTTGAGCAGAGAATCCAGCTAACCTGTAACTGAACTTCTAACCTTCAGAACTGTGACATAATAAATGGTGTTTCTTTTTTTTGGAGTCGGAGTCTCACTCTGTTGCCCAGGCTGGAGTGCAGTGGCATGCTCATGGCCATCGCAGCCTCGACCTGCTGGGCTCAGGTGATCCTTCTACCTCAGCCTTCCAAGCAGCTGGACCACAGGCATGTGCCACCATGCCTGGCTAATTTTTTTTACTTTATTGTAGAGAAGAGGTCTCACCAGCTTACCCAGGCTGGTCTTGAACCCCTGGGCTCAGGCAGTCCTCTCATCTCTGTCTCCCAAAGTGCTGGCATTACAGGCGTGAGCCACTGCGCCCAGCTAAATGGTGTTTCTTTAGCCACTAAGTTTGTGGCAGTTTGTAATGCAGCAATAGAAAACGAATACAGATGACCTTATTTGTTTTCTTATCTTTAATATGCTGGTCATTGCACTAGACCTTTGAGATTTCTAGGCTGCCTTATTATGTTTGTCTCTCTCCCCTTTATTTTAAACCTTCCAGTCTCTAAAACTTGGACTGCCTAGGTTCACTTTCCAGAGCAGCTTCAACAAATAAGATGAAACAAGGGAGCTCAGAAATTGTCAGCATCTGTTTTCCTTCTGGCACTTCCCAAACTCCTGGCCATTCCCTCAACCCTCTTTAGCCAGTATTTCTCAGGTTGTGATCCACAGTCAGCATCAAGGGGAGCTTATGAGAAATGAAGATCCTTAGGCTCCACTCCAGACCCCTGAGATTTCCAGGTGGTCCATGCACACCTATGATTGAGAAGCCCTGTTGTAAGATTGGTTTGTTCAACAGCTTTGTTTTCCCTTTGGTCATCAGTAGCGCCCAACAGGTAGCCTGGCCAAGAGGTGGCGACTTGGAGCTCTCCAGGTGTATCCTCTGGAGCTAAGACCCTTTGGCTGAGCGAGGCAGAGCAGTGGAGTCCACCACAGAGGGAGAGGTCACAGAGGGGCCTGACTGGCCTGGGTGAAAGCCTGAGGCCAATTAGAAACACCTAAGAGTCTGGGTAGATTAGAATCTATTGGCTTTATCTGCAGGTTAGAAAGACGTCCAAGAAAAATAGGCTCAATGTACATGTGCCTTTCCTGTTTTTTTTTTTTTTTTGGTTCCAAGGAAGGGCTTGGTTTCCAGGTTTCCTTTCTGAAGGAATGCTTGCCGTATCACTTCCTACTCTCTCCACCTTTAAACTATGTTCCAGGCAGGGCAGAAACTGCCCTAGTCATTGTCCTCCGATTTAAGTGCCTCAAGCCTCCCTGCAGTTTGGGGGAGAGGGAAGGAGGCATGGAGGGATGATCTCCTATCACACCAGCCCCCCTTCCCCTCCTGCAGCAGCCTTTCTTCCCACTCAGATCCCATCCTTCCAAGCCTCCTCAGGGCCCATCACCTCTGTGGCTCTTTGGGCTGGCCTCCTCTGTTCCAGCCTCTGCATATTTCCTCTCTTTCCAGCCATGATGACTTTCGTAGACCCCAGACCTTGGTTCAGAAACTCCTTAGGGCCTTCAAGGGAAGACTCCAACATCCATGACTGGCACAATCAGCCCTCCAGGATGAAGTCTCTTGCTTTTCTCTTCAGCCTCATCTCAGTCCTCTGCGGCCACTATGTATGTCCCTGTCACACTGAACAATGTATGCGCCATCAGAGCCCCGGAGCTCTCTCAGACCTTTGCCTGTGCTGTGCCCTCTACCTGTCCTGCCCTTACTTTGGGCTGCAGGAGCAGCACCTCACCTCCCTAAAGATTCAGTTTGGGAACAAAACACTTTCTCTAGGAAGCTTTCCCTACTCCCTTACAATTCATGCTTTGTGTCCCTCTTCTGAGTTTCCGTAGCATCTCTATCAGAACATTTACTACATTATGTACTTAAAACGTTTTAAATCTTTTACTGCTATACTATACAAATAAGATGTTTATTGTAAAAGCATTGAAATACATATACACACAAAAGATAAAAAATGCTGACCTATTACCTATTTATATTAGTTGGTGTTCCATGAGAAAAAGAGACACCACTCTGTGCTTTCTGAATGTGAAAGAAGGTACACGAGGAATTCCAGGTTTACGTAGTCACGGGTGGGCTGGTAGCAAATGTCCCTGTAACACCTAAGTGAGATACTCGGAGATCTTGCCGGGAACCTATTTCACCAAATTTCAAGAACTTCTGGAAAATCCTCATCAATTGTCTCAGACTGCAGCACTAATATCGGAGTGTCAAGAAAGAGACCTGGACATAGCTTTAAACCTCTCATCTGCCTATGCGTTTGCCTGCCTTGGGCCAAAAATGGTCTCTCTGTTTTTCCAAATCTCACACTAGTCCCTCTCACTGGCATTTAAGATATATGGGGATGAACGTCACAGCAACTTGGATGGACTTGGAGTCTATAATACTGAGTGATCTGTCACAGAAACAAAGGACTGAGTACACATGTTCACACTCATAAGTGGAACTTGAAAAATTATCATAATACTATAAGAAAAGAATTGACAGCAGTGGGAAACTGCTAGGGGAGGTGGGACACACCTCATCAACAAGGGTACTTGCATAATGAACATTTGTGTACCTAACTCTGAATTGTACCCCACATCTTTAAAATTAAAAAAAAGATATATAGGAAGGGGATTTTTGGAAATGTTGCTTCCAGCATCTCTTCTGTGGTACAGAGACCTTAGAGATAAGTGACATTGATGTTAAGTTTACAAGAATCAAGTCCCCTAAAGATAACCACATTCTGGTGCACAATCTTTCATATGTATTTGTGTGTGTATACAATTAAGTGAATAATGCACATATTAAGCACTCTCTTTCATGTACTCTCTCTATTGCATATCTATATACATGTATCCCCTCTGGCTCCTTGAAGGTTTAATGAACTCGCTTCTCTGCTTTTTAGAGCTAGGATTCCCAGTTCTGGTTTGATGACACCCTGGAGTGTCTTCATTTATCTCAGGGGGTGCCTTGAAATTCACAAAACAAGATTAATTTAAATTCATTTTCATTTAAAAAAGTAAACAGACATTATATAGTAATTACAGGTACAAGTGTGTGTGTTGAAATCAAACTAATAAATGTCTGCGTTAGAGAGAAATCAAGAAGATGGGGATGGGGTTGGAAGGGACTAGAAAGATAGTTTCATCTGAATCTTTTCTAAAACATCTTCCCCCAATTGATTCCGGGTTGACATTTCCCCAAGTTAATCATGTTCCTCAAACTGGAAGTCAGGGCCATGGAGAACAAAAGCTCCCAGTATCCAGGTCTGTCTTCTGTGTCCCCCATGGGCCTGGCATGGAACAGGCCTTCAGGAAGTACATTTTGATGGACTGTGGGTTAGGGTGGGACACAGGGGTGTTGACTGGGGAGGGTACATGATGCTTGAGAGTTCCAACTCTGTGGGGTTGGAGACCATGAGACATCTGCACAAATAGTGGCCTGGGTAGCAATTCCATTTGGATTCTAGGAGAATATAGTTCCCAGAAAATCAAAGAGAAAAGGACCTGGGCTGAGATATTGTTGGCCTTAGGTGACAGGTCAGAGGCTTCTGTAATTGCCTTTCTATTAGCAATTTGTGCAAATCATCAGAAAGTCAGATAGGGCAACTAACACCAAAGTGTGTGTCAGTGACTTATTGCTGAGGCTACAGTCCCCAGGCCATAGATGCAGTAAGACATTCTGAATTCTGAGTGAAGCCAGTATCTTTGAAACAGTGGAGCTGGTGGTGGGTTCAAATCTTGGCTCTGCCATTTAAAACGATACAACCCTGAATAAGTTGCTTTATACTTCAGTGCCCTTCTCTACAAAGTGGAAGTAATCGTAATGCCTACTTCAGAGAGTTGTGAAGATTAAATGAGTTAATCCTATGAAGTACTTTGAACAATGCTTGACACAGTGAGTGATCGATAAATGCTGGCTATGTTGTCATCATAATCATAGTGGACTCCACATACTTATCAGGACTAATTGGTAGCTGGAGTTTCAAATAGAGTGCAGTAGTGGTCCCATCTAGTCCCAAGAGAGTTTCGGGAAATCCTCCTGTTGCCCCTAGACTGGGGTGGGAACATCATTTGCTAGAACTGGAAATGCAGGCTGAGGGTTTATTGTGCTGTAAGCAAGCAAATGAAATGAATATAACAAAAACCCACCACATGCAAATTGGATTCTTGACGTAGCCCCTTGTTATACTTTGATGGGATATTCTGCTTCATAGGGAAAAAATAGTGCAAATATACTTGGATTCTTAGAATCACAATTGGTAACAAGGGAAGCATGTGTCTTTTAGCACAGAGTTTTATGGCCTATCAATCCTTGAAAGAAAGATATCATTAATCAAGAGTCAGTTTCAAAAGGTTCTCATCATTACTCGCTACTATTGATGAAAAAAACCCCAACCTCTTCTGGAGAGAATGACTGATAGGAAGAGAACCTTTGAAGCCATTAAAACACACTCCTGATACTCTTTATTTTAGTGAAAAACTAAATATACCTATATCCTCAGATGGGAAAGACAAATCAAGCTAATGTCTAATCTTAGCAAAATTCAAATACTGGGTTTGAAATGCCAATAATTCTATTCAGTTCTTTTTCCCTTGTGTAAATACTGGGAAATCTACATTGTGTGATTATTCAGATGTTCAAACAGTTATTTAGGATAAGAAAATTTGCAAATTCATATAGAATATTTCTAGGATAGCTATAACTGTAACAGATAGATGGTTCATGAGTCAGAGTCATTTATTTGAAATTTATGATACCCTAAAGCTCCTTGGTCAGAAAACGTATTTGGTTCAAAGGAAC